AATATAGCAGTTAGCATTTGGCAATTTTTTTTATTATGATTATTACTAGTGAAGTGGCTAATAATTATAATCATGGTATGAAACTACCATTGCATGAGATTGCTAAAATACACAAGAATTACATATTCCTATGGTTATGGTTTAGTCAAGCCATATTGTAATCAAATGCTACAATGTATTTAACAAAAAGATCACATATAAAAACATAACAATCATACATGGAAGCAATCAAGTTGAGAAGCACAGATAATTTGGCCACAGTAGAAACTTGGCTGCATATTCTAATAGTTGTTTACATGTAAGAGGGCTTGGAATATTTGGTGAATCAAAGCATAGTCAAATGTATAGACGAGGTAATTAGGCATACCATATGTACCCATTTGTGATCTCAATATCTCAAGTATGATTAATCTCAAGGAAACATATCTTAAGTTCCAAAAAGAGTTAGACAAACGAAATATAGTTATTTTTTTGTACAAAGGCAAAAAATTGAATCACCTTAAAATTGTTGTTCCTCGAACATTCTTCTTCAACTCCTTATCATGTCATTGTTGTGCATCAGTCACAAGATCAAATAAAATAATAATTAGTAAACTTATCAGAATATATCAATAAAATATCACTAAAATAGGCATGAAAAACTTATTTATTTTAAGGCGACTCACGCCTCTGTAAAGAATAGATCAACCTGTGCAAAAGAGATATACATAGCATGTTGCCTCCCAGATGCTATAGCTTTATAATAGCACTCTATGAATTTGCACTACCTATAGAGTCACCTAACTTAAAACACCCTTCTTTGCCCAAAGATAGAGTAGGATAAGAAGGCAAAAGAATGTGGAAGAACTTCACCATAATAGAGCAAATGACATGTCATATTTATAGGGCTCATGGTCATGTAACTCTCATTTGTAAGTTAATAATAGGAATAAATTAGGTAACTATTATGAAATAATGTGTCCTTAAGTAAGGCAATTAACCTATCACAATTAGTTTGACCAAATCTTTAATAGGATAATAAATTCAATTTAGGTTTAAGTACCATTTTGGTCCCTCAACTTTGCACTTTGGTACCAAAAATGTCCCTCAGCTTTAAAAAGTACCAAAATTATCCTTGAACTTTCATTTTTGGTACCAAAATGGTCCTTCTGTCAGTTAAACGCCAGGTGGCCCGTTAAGATGCCACAAAATCACTGGCTTTTTTGATTTTTAATGACGTGTAAATCCAGCAAGGACATTTTTGACACCCTGGCATTTTTCCACGTCAGATTGCTTCCCCACTTTTCAGATTCACTTTTTGTGGGGCCCACATGAAAAAAAACAAATAGTTTTCTTTTTCTAGTTTTAGTTGAGTTCCCCAAAAGTGGCAGTGTTCTTTGTCTTCGTTTCTCTGTCATTTCCCTTTTCAGACTCGATTCGAAACCCTAAACCTACAACCTGCTACTTCTGCGAAATCAAAAGCGAATCAGGCTTTAAACTTGTAACCATCGAATCTGTCAATCAAATCTGTTGATATATCCATTCAATGGATGCCGAACCTAGAACTGGGCATACGAACTGGAAGGTACCAGAAGTTATACCCAAAGTCATAGATCTAGAGTCTATGGAGATCGAGGATAAGGTACGTTATGTTTCTTGATTATTTACGTTTCGTTCTTAAAATGGCGTTGTTTTTTCTATTTATCTCTGCTCAGCATGTCAGAAAACATGGGGATAGGAAATGGGTCTGTGGGGTTTGTGTGTTACCTTTAGAGAAACAAAGGACATGGGACTTTATGCTGTTTTCTTTGTTTTAAAGTGACATTTGGTCCCCACATTGTTGTCTGTATGTAGATTCTGTATATGACCATGCAGACAGATAAATGCATATATAGTAATTTATTATTATTAAATAATTAATGAACTGAAAGTGGTTGGTTTGGATGCAGCACTACTAATTGTTGAGTATTGATTATCTTTTTATTTTTTATATTGCTGATATGAATAGATTGAAGAAAAGAGTGGTGACTACCTGCCAATGTATATCCACATTGGTGGTAGTTTTAAACACGACCGCGATGGTAACCTTAGATATGTTGATGGGGAGTGTGATACATGGCAAGTGAATTCGGAGTTGTTAACAGTTTGGGAGTTTTATGAGAAAGTTAGAATTGGTAGATATGATGTTGATCTAGTGGAAGGTATTTATTATCTTGAACCAAGCAAATCACTGGATGATGGTTTAAAGCAAATTATTGGAGACGACACAGTTAGGGAAGTGTTGGATGTGATGAAGGGACATGGTGAAGTTCATATATATGTGGATCACATCCCCAACTTTGCTGAAATAGTTCCTGTATCTCCTGTTTTAATGCTCCCAGCACCTGGTGATCCTTTAAAACCTGATGGTGGGGTTTGTAGTGATGCTAGTGGTGGGGTTTGTAGTGATGCTGGTGGTGGGGTTTTTAGTGATGCTGGTGGGCTTTGTAGTGATGCTGGTGAGAGTAGGATCAATGAGGATGAGGCATTTCATGAGGTTGGTGAAAGGAGGGACAATAACAGTGATGAACAAGATGGAATATTTAATGAGGCTGGTAGTTCTAGGAGCACAAAACATGAGGACCACTTTGTTGCTGGTAATAGTGATGTCCAGAATGATTGTTTTCCTCAACAACCTGATATAGATAATGTTGAAGAACCTAAGGAAAATGAGTATGAGCATGGGCTTGAGGATTTTCCTGAGTTGTCTGACAATGAAGATGAGGAGACTATTCTAGCAAGGGATAATTTGAGGCATTACAGTTCGACTCAACAGCATACTGGTATTACTCTTATTTTCATAATAGTGTTATCCATTTACTTTTTAAGCATAATTTACATTTACATTTACATTTACATTTGGTGTTAATGAATATTTGTTTCTATTGTAGATAATATAAACATTGCTATTCAAGGTGAGGATGATGCAGAAATACACTCTGGTGATGAAGTAAGTAACCAAACCACAAGTGATGAAGAGGACAGTGAAGCAGAACATGGTGTCAGAAGAAAAGCAAGGCATCCTATCTTTGATGAAAGTGAAGGCAACCAGGAAATTGAGCTTGGTATGATATTTCTTAATAAGAAACAATTCAAGAAAGTTGTGGGTCAATTGAGCATCAGGGAAGGGAGAGAGATTACATGGAAAAAAAATGATAAGCTCCGGATGAGGGCAGTGTGCAAGAATGAGAAATGTGATTGGAAGATTCTACTGGCGATGGACACTCCTACAAATTCTTGGATGGTAAAAACTTTCTATAATAGTCACACATGCTCGAGGACTGTTACAAATAAAGTTTGCACATCATCTGTTGTTGTTGATCATCTGGTTAAGACAAGAGGAGTATCTTCCTTGCATATGAATAGAGGAGATGTTTTTGAGGCAATTCGGGATGATTTAGGTGTGGAGTTGACACCTGTGCAACACAAGAAGACAAAGGATAAGTTGAAGAAGAAATTTGAAAGTGTTTCTAATGCTGAATACAACAGGTTATTTGATTATGCAAATGAGCTTAGGTCAAAAGATCCAGAAGCAAGCATTGTGCTTCAATGTTGTAGACAATCAACAGATACAACTCCTACATTCTTAAGGATGTACGTCTGTTTTAGTGTGTTGAAGAAGGGATTTCTTGCTGGATGCAGACGTGTAATAGGAGTTGATGGTGCATTCCTCAAAGGTGCCTACAAAGGAGAGTTGCTGATTGCTGTTGGACGGGATGCAAACAATCAAATGTACCCGATAGCTTGGGCTGTAGTGGAGGTTGAGAAAAGGGAGACATGGGAATGGTTTTTTGAAGAACTGAGGAAAGATTTGCTCATGGGTGATGGAAGCAGGTTTTGCATTATGTCTGACCAATAAAAGGTAAGTACCAACGTGTTTTATGACTTATTTAGCATTATAAGCAATTGGGTCCTCTAGCACTTCATGTTCATGTGATTTCAGGGACTTACACTTTATGTTCATGTGATTTTAGGGACTTGTTAAGGCTGTGGAGGAGCTCTTCCCATGTGCTGAACACAGGTTCTGTGCTAGACATAAGTACAACAATTTTAGGAAGTAGCATAAAGGCAAGGAGCTGCAAAAGGCATGTTGGAAGTGTGTTAAGGCACGAACAATACCTGAGTTTGCCAAAGCTCTGGATGAGTTGACATCATTGAAACCTTCTGCAAGGGAAACTATGTTAAACACAGACCCAAAGCATTGGTGTAGAGCGTTTTTCCAAACAGAGACAAAGTCAGATATAGTTGATAATAACATGTGTGAGGTTTTCAATGCATTGTTGGTTGAATCAAGACATAAGGCTATTGTCTCATTGCATCAAGATTTGAGGGCATTTTGTGGTCAAAGGATAGTGGCAAGAAGGGAATTTGGGGATAGAAAGTTTGTAGATGATTTTGGTCCAAGAACATGGGAAAAGCTGGTAGCAAATACGAGGGGAAGCAGAAGGTGCAAATTCTTGTGGCCGGGGAGTAACTGTTATGAAGTTCAAGAGAATGGTGTGGATGTATACATGGTTAATGTGGATGAAAGAAAGTGCACATGCAGGGAATGGGATCTCACTGGAATCCCTTGTAGGCATGCCATGGTAGCTATTAACGCTAGGAAGGAAAAAGCAGAAGATTATGTATCACATTGGTGTAGGAAGGAGAAGTTTAAAGCTGCTTATGAGTATGTTGTACCTGTAACTGAAGGGATGAATCAGTGGGAGAAAACTGGAATGCCACCTGTTCAACCCCCACCAGCCAGGAAAATGCCAGGAAGGCCAAAAGGGAAGAGGGTTTTGGAAGAATGGGAAGGGCACACTAACATGAGTCGAAAAGGGAGACAAATGACCTGTCAAAAGTGTTTCCAAAAAGGACACAATTCAAGAAAATGCAAAGCACAAGGACCCACCACTGTAAGTTTTAATTTTTTAATTTTAGAAAATAGTGTACATGACAGGAGGTTTAATTTAGATATATTTTAACTTGTTGTAGGCCCCTCAACCTGAAAATGCCAATGCAAGTGAAGAGCAAGTTCCTGTTGAAGATTCCCAACATCCCACAACAGTCACTGAAAATGATGTAACTTTTTGCAATTTCTTTTTTTATTGTTTAAGGATATGCTTGTACAAACTGTTGGACTATTGTGTAATAAACCATGCACCATTTTTTTTTTTCAAGATTCTCAACTTCCTTTGCGTCAAGTGGTGAACCCAACGCCTGTCAATGATCCAATGTCTGTGCAGAATCAGAATGAAGAAAATACCAATCCAGCAACTGTCCAGCAATAAAAAAAGAGAGTTCAGATACCTGCAAAAAGGCAAAACAAGAAGGTTAGTTCCTAAAAAATATAGTTAATGCACACCTTCATTTATCTAAGATCAGATTAATAATTTATGTAAAATTTTTTAGGGCCAAAGGAGTTCAGCATCAGCAACTGCGAATCCCCCTGCAGCTGCACCACATGCCATTGTAGAAACTCCGTAGCAACCTAAAAAAAGAGTGAAGACAACTGCAAAAGAACCACCAAGACATAGGGCAAAAAGTGTCGGTAATAGGTCAAACCAATAAAAAAGGAAGTTGTTGCAATATGTTTGTTTGATACTGGACAGTTGGTAGTATATTTTGATTTGTGCTTGTGTTTGGCAAATATGAGACAGTTGATTGGCAAGCTAGTTTTTGGTGTATGCTTGATACTTGACACTGAAAATGAGAGATTTTTTGTGTGTAAGCATTGCTTGATACTTTGTACTATGTGTATCTAATCTTTGTTTTTTTGGTAATTTATGTGTATCTTGCATGTTTGGTTTTATGCACTTAGTGCCCAGCATTTGGAAAATATGCATTAAATTTCCCTAATTTCTAAACTGAATGTTGAACTCACAAGAAAACTCATTGAAAAACATGCCATACACATTGCAACAACCACATTTCATCACATTTCTGGAAAATAACACTTTTGGAGATGAGATGAGATGAAATTCACAATATATCAGTACCATTTCTATCTGGTTTCAGTACATACAACATTCTACATCTCATTCACTTCCTAAGTACAAACAACCCAGCAATCACTGCCATAACAATAAAAAACACCAAGCAGACAAATTGACTAATTATGGCTGCTTGAGAGCTTCTCATCTCTACCTTCTTCACTTTCTTCTCCAACATCCTTATCTTTCTATCCATTAATCTACTTTGTGTCTTCATGAGTTCATTTTCCTGCAACAATTTGCCATTTTCCTTCATCAAATCTTCCTTTTCCTGCATCAAGTTTCCCTTTTCCAACTTCAGCTCGCCATTCTCTTTCTCGATTCTTTCTTTTTCCTTCAGATTTCTGGATTCCCTATCTTTATATATTAGCAATAAATCCCTAGCTCTTCCCTCGATTCTTTCCTCACCAGGTAAGAAATGGAAATATGGGCATTGACCCTAATACAATCAACTGTTAAATCAAACCTTAAATAAACTTAAAACTATGAACAAAAACCCAGAAATCTGCATTTTATCTTACCGTTATCTTCGGACAACAATGAAACCTCATTCCCATATTTTGTGTCACGCCCCAGAACCCAAATCCGGGGACGCGACAGACGCCGTGCACTCGTGAGACGGGTCCCACAAGTGCACAAGGATCAAAACTTATTCAAATCACAATCCGATACCATAAAATCTCAAGATAAAATTTTACAATCTGCTCTGATATCATAAATCTCCAAATACACTCTAGCTTGCAAGAGCATGATTTATTTCTAAATCTATATCAATCTCAAAATGGCTAGCCTTCTAACTCATCACTCCCCTCGGTTTCCCCATCCTCGGTTTCGCTTCCTGAAATGGTGGACAAGGAAAACTATGAGATAACTCAGTAAGTAAATATGGATAGCCCTTGGGTAAAACTTTAGCATGCCTGGTAAACAGTTTAATATAACCAAAACACTCAGTGACAAAATTAGATTCAGTTTAATTGTAAAGCATTCAATGACAACTCGTCAATGCAAAATCAAATTCAATTCAATAACAAAATGTTTCATGACAAACCGTCAATGCAGAAGAAAACTCAGTTCAGTATTCTCATCTATAAGTCATGGCCAGCGTTTATAAACCTCCCACTGGCGGGCACAGTAGTTGCCAATGTTTAACCCCATAGGCAAGGTTACAGAAGTGCCAGTGTTTAACAACTCCCACTGGCAGGCGTCAATAATGTGCCAGTGTTTACAACTCCCACTGGCAGGCGACAGTAATTACCAATGTTTAACCCCATTGGTAGGGTGAACTGGTTCTATCAGTAAACATGTCGACATGTGCTAGCGTTTATAAACCTCCCACTAGCGGGCACAGTAATCAGTAATCATGACTATATTCGAGACAAAACCATGCATAGTTTACAGAAAACCCGAATTTCACAATCAATCCCAATTTCAGAAATAACCAGAAAGATTCCATGTGGGCATGGATTTATCAGAAAACTCAGAATTTGCAAACTCTCAGTTCATCAAAACAGTTCAGTCAATTCCAAATAGGCATGCTCTACTCAATACCAATGAAGACAGTTTCATTTCAAACCAATCATGCTCGGTGCAATAGCTCCAGAAAAACAATGAAATTCTCACTTTTCATTTCAATCATGCTCAATTCCAGAAAACAATAATTTTCATAAAAATCATCACAATTTCCATTTCAGTTTAATCACATTCAGATGCTGATAAAAT